TCTCACCCACTATCTCACCTTCTGAACCTATCTCAAATACTGACTCGACAACGTCCTCTAATTCTAACATGCGAAATACAAAAGGACACTTAAACTCAGGGGGAGAAGCAGAAAAGCAAGTTAACAAAGAGATACTAGTTTCCTCAAGGAAGCAAAAATAAAAGTACAAGGAGAACCTCACATCCGAAGCACCAAAAGAGTTTAAACCGATGATAGCTCCAGACCTCCATGAAAATTCTTCAAACCAAATTGAGTCCTCGGATGATGATCTACCTATTGCTCTCAGGAAAAAACCTCGGTCATATACCTTCCACCCAATCTCAAAATTTGTTTCATATAATACTCTATCTGCACAATTTCGCACTTCTTCCTCAAATCTTGACAATACAGAAATTCCAAAGAGTATTCAGGAAGCCATGACTATTCCAGAATGGAAAGAAGCAGTCCTAGAAGAAATGCGAGCACTGAAGAAAAATAAGACTTAAGATGTGGTAGAGTTACCTAATGGAAAGAAACATGTCGGATGTAAATGTGTCTTTAATGAGAAATACAAGGCTGATGGGGAAATAGAACAGTACAAAGCTCGACTTGTTGCAAAGGGATATACACAGACCTATGGCGTTGACTACACAGAAACATTTGTTCATGTTGCAAAACTTTACACAATCAGGGTTATCTTGTCTTTAGCAGCGGATTGGCCTCTCCAACAGCATGACATTAAGAATGAATTCTTGAATGGAGATTTAGAGGAAGAGGTCTTCATGACGTTACCACCAGAATTCAATGACATTTACACAGAAACATTTGCTCATGTGGCAAAACTTAACACAATCAGGGTTATCTTGTCCTTAGCAGCGAGTCTGGATTGGCCTCTTCAACAGCTTGACATAAAGAATGCATTCTTGAATGGAGAATTAGAAGAAGAGGTCTTCATGACGTTACCCCCAGATTTCAATGACATGTACGAAGACAACAAGGTGTATAAACTAAACAAATCTTTGTACGGCCTCAAACAGTCACTCAGAGCATGGTTTGACAGGTTTGCAAGGGTGCTAAAGAGCCAAAGATATCAACAAGGACGGTCAGATCATACCATGTCCTACCACTTGTCTAAAGATGGGAAAAAAGCAATCCTCATTGTATATGTTGATGACATAATACTAACAGGAGATAACATAGTGGGACTAGAGAGACTGAAGAAATACTTAGCAGCAGAATTCAAAGTTAAGGATCTAGGACAGATGAGATACTTCTTAGGGATGGAAGTTGCCAGATCGAAGAAGGGTATTAATGTTTCACAACGTAAGTACATTCTTGATCTCCTGACCGAAACGGGCATGCTTAGATGTAAACCAAGTGACACACCTATAGACGTAGGAAGAAAAGGAGTAGACATGGGAAAACCAGTTGAAAAGGACAGATATCGGCGGTTAGTTGGCAAGTTAATCTACCTCTCACATACAAGACCTGACATTGCGTTTGCTGTTATTGTGGTAAGTCAACACATGCATTCCCCGAGGGCAACTCACCTAGAAGCAGTTTACAGAATCCTCAGATATCTAAAAGGTACTCCTAGAAAGGGGCTCTTCTTTAAGAAAAACGAAAGAAAAGAAGTAGAAATCTTTACTGATGCAGATTGGGCTGGATGAATAGAAGACAGAAGATCAACTACTGGCTATTGTACCTTTGCATGGGAAAATTTGGTAACTTGGAGGAGTAAGAAACTAAATGCAGTAGCCAGACGTAGAGCCCGTTTGGTACACATTAAAATGAGATAATGCATTTTTTTGAAATGATGTGATGGGAAATATGTGGTTAAAAAAAAGGAAAAGTTAGTGATGTGATGTAAAATATCATTTTATTGAAGAATGTGTTGTTGAAAAAGAGTAGAAGAATGAGAATGAAAAAATAATGTGGATCAAACAGGGGCGTAGTGTCAAAGCTGAGTTCAGAGCAGTCGCACAAGGAATGCGAAGGATTGTTATTCAAAACAAAATGTACTAGCCAAAAGTAGATCCCAACATGTATCATCTTTGTGTCCTGGTTTATGACAGCGATCACATCAAGGACAACCCTTTTGTTTTGTTCCAAGCCCATTACTTTTAAATAATGGGCTCATTTCAGTTGGCCCATTCCATTTAGAATTATTAACTCTCGGCCCACTAGGCAAATAGGTTAGCCCAGATTTTTTAAGTAATTGGGCCGACCCATTTGGCCCAACATCCTTAGAAATTAGGGCAAATCCACTACCTTCTTCATCCAGCATGTCCCGGTTCCCATTCATCATAATTTTTTGTTGATGTTCCTCCCGACGCACTTCCGCGAAGGCCTCCCACGACGATGGTAGCGAACGCTGGCTCAGAACTCGTCCCCTCACATCATCCAAATCGCAATTCAAGCCAACCAAAAACTCAGACCCTCTCGTTCTCCAGTTTGTTCTTGTACCGCACACTGTCAGCCGAACAATCCCATTCTTCTTCTATGTTCTGATCAAGTTCTTGCCACAAGGCACTCATCTCCAAATAATATTCCATCACATCCCTCTCCCTCTATTTTGTTTGCCAAAGCTTGGTTTTGATCTCAAAAATCTGGGATGAATCCTCTGTATCGGAGTACATGTCACAGACGGCTTCCCACACATCTTTGGCCGTTGGTAGAAAGAGATAGGGTTTCCCAATTGCGGGTTTCATGGAGTTAATCAGCCACGCAGTCACCAATGAATTTTTCGACCTCCATCTCTACAGAAAAAGCGACATCGGTTGAGGCAGGCTGCTTCTTTTCTCCGGTAAGATATCTCAATTTACCTTTTCCATTGGCAATGAGCTTGATTGACTGAGCTCATTCACGATAATTCTTCTCGTTTAATCTTTCCACGGTGTGTTGGAAAGACGAATTGTCCAATCCTCCGAAGCCCATGGTGGAGAGAGATTCTACTCCACTGCTTTGGGACTTAGACGTGGTTAGCTGGTTGTTTTCAGTTTTTCTGCCATTAGCGGTTGATGGCTTGATCAGGAATGATAGGGCTTTGATACCACATAGAAACAAGAATGTGGAAATAAGAATTGAATTCTTATATTATGTTTTTACATTACTAAGAGCCTCAATATATAGTACAAAGTCGGAATAAAAAAGGCAAGCTTCTAACTAGGGAAATACAAAATTTACCTAATCTAGTTAAGGTAAAAAATCAATTATACAATCATATAAAAATATTTCCATAACCGGGATTTCTACAGGAAGTAACCTGAATACCATAATCATTTTGGCACCATTAACTTTGCCGATGCTTTAAGTGTTAAACTTAATTCAAGATCCTGTCGAATTTTAAGTTGCCCTACTAGCTGTGCGTTTCAAAGAGAAGTATTAATTATGGCCCAAAAGTAAAGAAGAAAAGAAGAGTATACACTATACAATATCTTCCTCTCTATAAACCATATAAACTGTAGCGATTTTTTTGGCTTCACCCTCTAACGATCAAAGAGTATAAAGCTTATTTATTGTTTATTGATCTTGAGGCAGTTTGTGGCATCACCCAACAAATTTCGGGACTCAACAAAGGCAGCCATGGCACAAGCTAAAAATGTAACCCTTCCATTTATAGTTTTCTGTTCTTTATATGGTTAATGGCTTTAGGTAATAAAAGTCGCCTCCCTTTCCAGTTTATACAGGTCATTGGACATCCATTGATATACACATTCCATTCAAACCATTCCATCTCATTGTCGACCATGAACGAAATCAAATACATTGTCCACTGAAAAGGTGTGCAAGCCAGGAGAATGATCTTTCACATTAGTTTCTTCACATCTACAGTAAGGTTTTAGACAATAAAACTCACATTTTAGGAAAATAAATTTCGACATGCCACTGTAACTCCGTTCCAAAAGACGAGGTAAAAGGCCAATGTGCCATTCACAAAGACTAATAGATCCCAAGAGTCAGCTAGTCCATATTGAGCTAATTGTTAAGTGCAGGAGTTGTCCAAGTGTCTAAGACCTATGTAAAACATAACGTATGCTTTAAGGTGATTAGCTTGACTTTGTACATTGTCACACTTGTGGACCCCCAAGGCACCATATTGCATCAACAAGCCCTATAGCTTTGGTGCATCACGTCAGACCAACCATGTCCCTGTGCAATCCATCAACTCCATAAACCATCCATTTCCTTAGTGAATTATCATGCTAATTGCAAACTGATTAGTCACCCCTCGCCACTGAACATAGATATTGTTTTCTTGCCTCTTTCTGTTGACTTTGGTTTCTACGTGCAAAATGAGTCTGATCTTGCCTTGGATCAGCCTAAGGGATAACGGTATCTTCTCTTGACAAAAAAGCTCAATTCCTGTCTCTTGCATATGTTTTAAGACAACTGCTATTCCAAATCAACTTTCCAGAGCCACCTAATCTTTTATTATGAACAATGATGAAGCAACAACGAATGGTATCAGTTCATACTGTTCTAACATTTCATATATTGTTTGTTATTTTCCTGCAATACTGAGGACCCATTTGGCATGGCTTTTGCTTTTACTTTGTGTAAAATAACTTTTGGAGGAAGCTACCTTAGTTGTTGTTTGGAAACTAATTTTTAAAAGTACTTCCTATTCCAGAAGTGCTTTTAGAGGAAATCACAATGGACCAACTTCCTTTAAAAGTTCCAAGTACCAAAAGCACTTTTATAAAATTAGCAATGGGTTTAAAAACAACATTTGGGTCTCAAAATCTCCTTTTAGCTCTTCAAAAGCCATGCCAAACTGGCCATGAGTATGCCACTATGCCACACTACTAGATTGTTCAATTATATTACAAACCTTAACAAGACCTATCGGCTATCGCACGTGATCCTCACTTCATTACCAAATCATTTAGCCTCCGTTTGGAAAGAAGTTATAAAGGTTTAATTTATAAATTGATAGAAATGAGTGGTGGTTGAGTGGATAGTACTTGCAGGTCCATTAAAATGTGTGGTTGAAATAAAGTTTGACCAATTTATAAAGGATTTATAAATTTACCAAATGGAGGCTCAATGACAACATGATCTGATTTCTTAATGGTAAATGACATGTAACATCAAAGATGATATTTCACGGAATTTTTTGTCAAATTAATTTACACCAATCAAGCATCCCCTTACTTTACGAGAATTACAAAATATAAATGTAAGATACCTAATGTTAGAAGCTGAAATATCGAATTGGTAAACAAATGGAGCCTAGTATAACAACTTCTAGTTATCCTCCTTTGTTCTTAAACAATTATTGTTACCTGAGTTTTTACATCAATAAAATTATTTTACTCTCCCTCATAATTCTACAGACTGGAAAGTCAATCCTAAATAGAGATATTATCATTTAGTTGAAAACCCCAGTGCTTAACTATCCAACAATTTAATCCTTAGGATAGGAAGCTGCCATTGATAAAACTGCATAGCAGTCAAATATCTTAGATCTCAGTATTCATAGTAGAAGTTACTTTCCCAAACTCAAGAACAAAATGGATATGTCAAAAAATTGAAGATACCATTTCAATGTATGCAACACATCAGCTATATGTGCAAAAGTGACAGTGAGGTAAGAATTTGTAACCTGAAGCAATTCTTTTAAACCCATTTGTTTCGGTTGACCATTGAGGATACTGTAATAAAGCAAATAAACAAGGTCAACAGAACATATATCTTCAATGCATTAGAACATAGCTGTTCACCAGAGAAGTGAAAGAGACACAGAGGCCACAATAGAGAAACAAATTATGTGTGCCATTCTCCATTCACCCATCGCACCAATTGAGAATATCCAAATAATAAAAATATGAATCACATGACAATATAATATCGAAAAAAGAAAAATATCTCCAAAATCCAAACTACAATTTGGCCAATAATAAGGCGAACATATTTTCGTTAATACAATGCAACATTTTGCAATATAGGTTTCTAAAGCATCTAGATAAACATATGAAGTTGGAAGAGCTGTCAGTAGACACAATTTATGTTAAAGGTCCTATCTGAATGGCTAAAAGTAACATTTCAGAGATGTTCTCATTCATCACAACTGGTGTGATATTTTCAACATTTGTCTTCAACACCCTCCAGCTCAAAAATAGAGCAACCAACCTGTTTATTATCTGCCACCAAAAGTGGAGAAATCACAGTAAAAGATGCCGCGTCTTTGGGCATCAGAGACAATTAGTTAGTCTAGGATTTCTCTAATCCAAAAATCTATATAATTTTCAAAAACATACTAGAACTTGAAATTATCATTCGTACATTTAAAAATAGGTTTTCCTCAAATACTCAAAAATAAATATTCGACGCGGTTAGCCAGAAACTTGAAGATTACAATAAGGGGAGATAGCTAGTCCCAAAAATACTATTAATTCAACATCTGATGAACATAAATACTCATATACCACAAGTAACCATTCAGTGGTCATTACATAAACAGCAAGACAAAAGAACTGACAGAATTATTTACGGAAGGAAAAGGTTCATAACATAGATATATCAAGTTCCGAAGTTCACATATGCTAAACTCTAGCTTAAGTCATGACCCGGTTATCGATATGTAGGAATGCCAAGTCTCTAACTTAACCACACATTTATATGACAGAAAAAGAAAAGAGCATAAATGCAGTATATTACGAAAAATAAAAAATCATATCCCCATATCCTTTATTAAGTTGTCACCTAGCTTTTCATTAGGTAGAAATGCCGTCTTTCGCTCAACCATGCCGACATATATCACAGAAAGAATCCCCTCCCCCTCCTTAAGCTAGAATAACAAAAACAATGTTATCAAAGGAATTGGTTTTCTGTCCAACAAACAATTAGATTGCTTATATATACATAATTAATGCTCCATTACTACCACTCAAACAATGAGAAAGACCACATTTCTATTCCTTTTATGCAGCAAATGAAAACCTCTCAAAGTAGTATAGTTCAGGAAACTGCTTACCCCACCATGTTGCAGCTAAAAGTAGACTGGAGTGCTGTTAGACGATATAGATTATTCAAGATAATGGATGGATCAGATCCTCTTTTAAGCTGGAAGATTGGGAAAAAAAATAAAGAAAATAGATGAAATTAAATATTCTCATATTGAAGCTCGGCATTTGTAAAATTGGAACTGTAGGTCATAGAACAAAAGGAGAAAAAAATGCAAGAAAGGCGATTATAGAAGTACCTCAATGACTATGCGCATTCCAGATCGATCACTCTCATCACGAATATCACTTATGCCTTCTAAAATCTAGTAAAACGAAAAGGTCCCAACAAAGAATACAACGCATTAACTGACTTAAAACTCTAAATGACGCCAAGAAATTGAATAAATCAGAAATAGGAAAGTGAAAAAAGGATGGCCATTCTAGAAAAGTGGAAACTGCGCTTGACTAAAGGTTATATAAAAGAGGAGTAAATATGCCGGGAAGTAACATTTTTAGTCATTTAAAAAACTATTCAAACAATCAGTTAATTTATATAATAAGATTAGTTAAGCACTTAATTTCATATAAATTTATATGATATGCACTGGAGTTTGGCCTCAAAAATTTACCAATCATCAAAAAGATAAATAATTATTGATCATCTCATCTAAAAGCTTAAATTACCAGAGGATGCATTTATTTAGTTAACTTAATCTTCAGCCTGCCAACTCATGTTGGCCGAATTTATCAAAGACCTAACACGTGCACAATTTTCATTCATAGGTGGTGTAAAGACTTGAGCTCTAGCTATGGTACCATAATGAAACGGCTCATCTGATAGCTTAAAAGATTAGAGAAAGGACACATTCCTTTATTTAACTTTTATCTTCAATGCTAACTTATGTAATACATTCCGGTTAATATATACAAAACAAAAGGCTTAGATTATCATATTTAGTTAATTTAATCTTCAGCCTGTCACCTCATGTTGGCCAAATTTATCAAAGGTCTAACACACACAATTTTCATTCATAGGTGGTGTACAGACTTGAGCTCTAGCTATGGTACTACAATGAAATGGCTCATCTGATGGCCACATTTGTTTATTTAACTTTCATCTTCAACACTAACTTATCTTATACCAATTATAAAACTTCTGGTGAATATATACAAGACCAACCCATGTATTTAATTCTAGAGATGGGAGGAGAAAAGAGATAATATAATTTAACTATTTATACAATCAGAAGAATAAGCCCAAATGAAGAAATATAAAATAAGTCATGAGATACCTTATTTTCCACAAGTTCAGCAATTTTCTCCACAAGGGATGCTTTGTTAGTCTGATACGGAATCTGTCCCAATTATAAAGCAAATTAAAATCAAATGTTACTCTACATATCCCATAATTATAATGTCAAAAGAAATATAAGTTAGTAGTAATACATAGGGAGCAGGAAAATAAGAAACCTCTTTTATGATGATTGCTGCACGACTGGTTCTGGAATCAAGTAATTCAACATCAGTTTTCCCTCTGATTATGACACGCCCTCGTCCAGTTCTATATGCCTCCAAAATGCTACAAGAATAAATAGGCAGTCAAAAAATTATATCATAAATCATACATAAAGTAGGTCCAAAAAGAAACTTCATGCGTATAGAATCAAAAACAAACTCAATTTTATTTGCTATGTCAGAGGTTAAACTTCATCTTCTTTCCACATAGTGTTTTTTACATATTCTACGATATGAATGTTGTGATAAAAAGCACACTTGCAAGTATACTGTTTGTTTGGCAATGAAGTGACAAAATAATTGAGAAAATGTTGGGTTTTCAATAACCTACCCAATGGTACCCATTATAACTCCTCCTGTTGGGAAGTCAGGTCCAGGCATGTACTCCAGCAATTCTTGCAACTGTTACAAAACAAACATACAAACACAGAGAGACAGAGAAAGATGTTCATAACCATCGGTTTTCTGTATAAACATTGATAATTAGCTTCGATCAGATTTTCTATTCTGGAATAGATTGTGTCATATTGAAAAGAGGTGAAAAATCAAAACTCATCACAGGCATCTAGGAGAATACCCAAATGTAAGCATGTTATTCAGTTTTCTCTTCCAAGGTTGATACACAAAGGAATATTAAGGGCCTGTTTGAGCCACATTTTTTTCTTGAGAATGCATTTTGGAATAGTATATTGACAGAGAATGTGTGGTTGAAAATTAAGGAAAGGTTTTGGGTTTACGTGTAATATTATTTTATTGAAAAATGTGTGCTTGAAAAGAAGAGAGAGGAATGTATTTTGAAAATAATGGAGATCAAACGAGGGCTAAATATTCTCCGTAAACGTTTATGCCAAAGTTCAATTATGGCCGTGTTCAAAGAAAATGTAAATCTGTTTTTAACTTCTTAATTTCTTAAGGGGCCTTGTTTCAACACAATGCTTCAAACAAATAGCGATTATATGAATGTTAAGCTCAACATCATGCTGCGGAGAGTAAGCAACTTCTCAAAGTTTTGTTCTCTACTGGGGAAAAACGGATGTCAAAATAACCAAAGGACCTGTTTATCACATATTTTACACTCGCTCAAATCAAGGAAGAAGGAACCGCAGAAATGAAGAAACAACCTCGAATTAAAAGTTTAGGACTTGGTTTTTACATTTTCAATTATTCAAAAGAAAAATAAAAAACTCATATAGCGAACGTCAAGTTTACTCAGAATAAGGTTTAGGCCCTATTTGGGAGGGATTCAATTTTTCTACAGTAAATCAATTCTCATTTTCAACCACACATCCTTCAATAAAATAATATTTTCCATCACATCAATAATTTTTTCTTCTTTTTCAACCATACATTTCTCATCATATCACTTTTCAAAATCAATTCTTTCCCCAAAAATCTCTCCCAAACAAGCTCTTAAGTTCAGAAGAAAAAGGGAAAGGAGCAGATAAGATAATGATGTTTGACTAGTAAAATAGATACCGTTGCTTCAGGATTACGAATCAACACAGACAGTGCATCTACCAACTCCCCAAGATTATGTGGTGGTATATTTGTAGCCATTCCAACCTGAGAATATGAAGAAAATAAAACTGAGGATAAACTATAACCCACAAACAGCCATTTAGATTTTTAAGAGTAAGGGAAATCATGTTGGAAAATAAGAGATTCAAGTGGGTAACTGCAATCCCAGAAGCACCATTCAACAGCAAGTTCGGAACACGAGCAGGGAGCAAAGATGGCTCTTTTTGGGAGTTGTCAAAATTTGGAACAAAATCAACCTGCAATATATATGCAGTTAAAGAAATCATAACTAAAAATTTAATACCAAAAACAAGTGAAAAACTTCAAGGATAGACACTGACAGTATCTTGGTCCAAGTCTGACAACAACATTGCCTCAGTGAGTGCCTGAAGGAAGTACCTCAAACATATTAACGCCCATCAAGTTCAAAACATTACATCAGGAATATTAAAATTATAAGGAACCGTGAAGAATTTCTGTCGCCATTTAAAGTAGAATATGTATAAAAATGAAATGGCATAACTATATCGAACTTCAATGTTTTTGAGACGAATAGAAGTTCAAAACCTTCTGTCCCCTTCAGCTTTTATTTTAATTAGTAGCATATTTTAACGAGCATTCATCAAGGGAATTTTCATGTTTTGTCATGTTAGGGCAGCATTGAGGTCTATTAATTCTGTCAATAGGTTATAATCATTTCGTAACATCAGCCTATTTGAACCTTTTTTTTGGGGAGTTAAATATGACAATTGAGCACTCTTAGATCTTCATAAAACCCTAGAAGCCTATCCTCCTTATAACTACCGCACTTTGTTATCAGAAATATTTTGAAGAGCTCTTCAATTGCTTCCTCATACCAAATCACCGGATGATAGCTGATTCTGATTTAGGAATTGGAGGAGATCAATGTGATGACAATCACTGCACAACTTGAACAACCAAGGAAGTTAAAACGGAAAGAAGAAAGATCTTAAGAACTGTTTGTGCATCCCGTTGGCTGTGGAAAAATGGAAGTTAAGGACTAGTTTTCCCAGCACTAGGGGTGAAAAAAAATGCAGGAAAAATTAGAAGGCACAGTAAAGCTCTTTGCAAGGCCACTGTAGTCTTAGATTTAAATTTTGTTTCAGAATATGTCAATAAGGATTTTTAGGGGAAAAGGAAGGGGGGATTAGGGGTTGCCGCATGTTCCTTTTGATTTTATTTAAACTAGCAGATATTGTGGCATTGTCTTTTATCAGCACTGTTGGTGATATTTTTGTCTTTTCCTCAATGAGGGCAAAATAGATACATTATCATCTTTTTCAGTAAAATATATTTGGAGCTGCCTTGAATCTTCCTAAATCCTATAAGCCTATTTGTTTTCAAAATTATTGCTCTTTCACTTCAGTTATCTTGTTGTAAATCTGTGTAATTTCTTCCCCTGCACCACTTGTCATCTTTCTAAGCAATAAAGTTTTGACGGACAAGTATCAAAAGATTAGCATTAACACAGCCAATAGAAAGAATTTATATCAACCTACCCTCAGTCTGCATTCTGTGTAACGCATTGCTGCAGGAGGATCTGCATCAATTGAACCAAAATTCCCATGCCCTTGAATGAGTGGGAAGCGCAAGGAGAAATCCTGAGAAGTGTGGATTAAAATTGCACAGAATAACAAATGAACGAAATCCATCACCCAACCACAACAGAGAAAAAAAGAGAGAGAGAAGTAGGAGAATACATTCTTCTGGTTCTTTTGTGATAACAAATAATTCATCAATTTGACGTGGAAGTGAGAGGGCATATACAGATGTTGTTAACAAGACTGCAAAAAATCAGGCCCTCTCCCAAAAATACCATATTTATTATACTCGAGGATATTGATAGTAAACTGAATTCATAAAATCGACAAGGAACAATTTTACAAAATCTATAATTATCTGCTTTTGAACTATCAAGATCTTAAACGATTGCTTCTTATTGGGTAAAGATCCGATTCAGTCAATTATGAAATCGTTCAAATTGGAATAGTACCTGAGCCATTCGAACCAACGAATCGTACACAGCATTGTCTCCATGAGGATGGAATTTACCAAGCACCTGCAATTAAAGCAAGCAAAACAAAAGGGAAATTCAGGAAGGGAAAACAAACACAATGATGATAAAAATGCATCATGGCTCGTAAATATCAATATAGCAAGAGAAACGAACTCAATATAGATTGAATACAACCTCGCCAACAACTCTTGCACATTTCTTGTGAGGTTTCCTCGAGGAAAGCCCCAATTCATGCATGGCATATCTGTTCAAAATAAATAGAAGATAGTTATAACTCCAGTCAGAAGTCACGTTTCAACAACGTGATGCATGGTTGCATACAGATCGAAGACATAAGCTGCACACAACTACGTGCAGAAAAACTAGTAAAGAATGATATGTGCACAAATATGAAGACAGTCAAATGATATCCTACGAGTAGGCGATCCATGAAAAATGAACAATTCTGTTGAATCAACATGGCATTTAGATGTTCTAATGATCTCAGATGAACTAGTATCAATACTAGAAAGGCTAATTTACCCAAATTGTATGTTAAAGGTAGGGAACTAATCAGAATATATATGGAGTATGGTAAAAAGGGAAGCAACCAGTTCTATATGTATTTAAATTTGCTCCATAAATGCCCTTTTGATCTTTTGATCTTGATTAACCAAAGATTGAAAATGTTCCGGTCTTCGCTTTTCATTAATCAGTGAAGCTCTTTCCCAAAGCTAATAAATAAGGGCTAATGGCATACAAGAGGTTCAAGTTACTCGAACTTGGCCCATGTATGCCCCATTTCTATCATGTTCCAGATGGGCATGCCAAAAGTCAAGCCAAGCATGAACAATGGCTTCTTCAGCTTAGATTTATGACCCTAAGCTGGAGTTTGGAACTTCCATTCAAGATAACAAATATCATCATATATTTGTCTAGTTGTGATAAAAAAGTTAAAAAAAGGACGATTATAAACAACAGACGAATGACAATAGATTACTATCATATAAAGTAAATCTGGTTAGACATGGGATTGTTATCATTCTTGTTAAACATTGAGCCAGGGGGATCACCTTAAACAAATAGATTAATCTCAAAACTGTTTAAAAAAACTCCAAACATTCTCTTCTGCCCAATTTCTTCACCATATTTCCTTTACAATCATTATTGCAGGCCTGCTCCAACCATTGATTCTGGAACCTCCATAATTTAGGTACCATCATTTATTAATTTTCTCACATTGTCTCAGGAACAACAGATACTTAAAAATAAATGAATTACTCACAGTATTCTCCGGTGGACAGGCTTTAGCCCGTCTCTGACGTCCGGCAAAGCTCGGCCCAGGAGCACAGACATGGCATAAGCCATGTAAGCTTCAGTGGCCTCCTTGTGCAGCTCAGAAATTACAACCCTGCCATCACCTCCGCCCCCACTTCCACCTCTATCTCTCACAGTCATCACACTCCCATTTCCATCGTCTCCATCTATTTCCTCTTCCCTCCGCCTCGAAGCTTTTACTGAGAACCTACTCTGACGATGTGGGCCCATGACGGAGAGGACCCTGAGCTCAGATACCCGTTTATGGAGCATCCGGGTCGGAGCACCGACTCCGAGAGACATGGAGAAGCTGAGAGGATGGTGAGAGCCACAGCAGCGGAGCAAGCGAAATCCGGTGCTCAGAGCCATGGATCCGGGTTTTGGTTGAGAAGTAATTATTGGGGGTCCGAAACGAATGCAATATGGGCTCATGCCATGAAATTGAAAGAAGAAAAGGGAAGTGCAGAGTTAGGGAAAGTGAAGAGGGATAAGCTAATTTGCAAAACCCTAAACGGGTCGGGTTATTCGGAGGGTTTTTGCGCGCCAAGTTCTTTTGGTATGATATTTTATTTTTCTATTTTTTCTTTTAAATTGTTTTTTAGCCCCTATTTTGTGAATATTAAAATCACATTTTTAGCATACGTTAATAAAATGTGTGGTTAAAATGTTATAAATTTCATGAAATATATGATTAAAATTAATTGTTAACTTTAATTTTAATAAAAATCTAGATTATAATTTTTGTTAGGAGTTAATGTTAATTGTATAGCGTCTAATTTAAACAAATTGTGCAACAAGATGAATTTATAGTAGGAAATAACAAAATGCTAATGACTCACACCAATATTTTATATAATGAGGTGTTAATTATGCTCCTCACCGTTGATTACAAAAAATTCTTGATTGATACGTGGTCTTATATCTCTTAAATATTTGTCGAGGTTACATCAATTCTCCTATCAAGATGGTTGGAAGTTGTACCGAGATCCTAATACTCGATATAACAGAACTAGTGGACCATGATGCAAAGGGACGGGAGGTTTCAATGTTGTTTCATTTGCATGTCCTAGTCGACGTTAAATGTACACTACACGTTATTTTGAAATACTTTATAAGTACTATGAAAATAATATTTGACCCCCATTTATCCTTTTCATCTAAACATAAGAGAAACGTAAGCCCCTAAAAATAAATATTAATTATTATATATGCATGTCAATAGAGAAATGCATACTTGAATGTGAGTATTAGAATTACAATTAATGGTGTATTTGATGAATATTATTGATGTATGAATGTATTTTAAATAGTGATATGATGGAAAATATGTGATTAAAAAGTAAGAAAAAGTTATTGATATGATAAAAAATATTATTTTATTGAAAAATGTGTGGTTGAAAATGACTTTTAAAATAATGTATTTTGAAAAAATGTGTGTCAAATGGGGTTTAAATGTATAAATGAAGATGAATGACAAATACGACACATTAATTAACGTGAATGTTAGTTAATTTAGATTTAACGCGAAGGAATATATACGTGACTATAATAATATAAATTGTTTATATTAAATTAATATAAGAAAATCTCTAATTAAGTGAAACTGGATACTAATGATCATACATGAATGTGAATAGTGAATTGCATTCTTAAATGTGAAAATTTAATTAATATTGATTAAGTGGAGGTGAATGATAATGATAATTAATTAAGAATTAATGGTATATTAAAATTCGGATTGATGCAGGAACTGGTAGGCTTATAAAACCTCTAATTAAAAGCCTGTTTCAAAACCCGTTAAATGGACAAGTTTTTTGAAAAACTCGTGACCCGTTCTCAATTTAAAAGGTTCAATTTATGTAAATATATATTTAAAATTTTTAAATGTGTATTTTTAATTTTATTAAAAATCACGATTCGATCCTCGTTTAACATTTTGACCTCTCGTTCTTTCTCATTTTTGGGTTGATGGTCAGTTGGATTTTTAAAATATTAAAATTAATAACATGAATATGGACGTGAATGCTAATGTGAAATTCTAATTAATATTAATTAAATGAATGTGAATGTTAGTTAATATAGAATTATTATAGTATTTATTATAATTTGTAAATTAGATATATGTTTAAAAATAAAAAATAAAGTGTTACTGAAATAATTGAATTTTCGTAGGACTATAATCATCCAAAAAATTATTCGCACTTGATGTGATATTTGATATATTATATAGATGGTCGGGATAGATTTTTAAAACATTGGAATTAATAACATAGACAAGGATGTGAAGGTAGATGTGAAATGACGCAAATGTGAATATGAAATTTTAATTAACATATTGAAAAGAAAAAAAAACAAAAATAATACATTTTGAAAATAATGAGGATCAAAGAAATACTTAATAATATTTTAAAGTCTTAAATCATTTTAAATCATTTAATAATTAAAATAATACATATCGAATATCTAAAATTATAAATTACTATACTTAATAATTCTTACCATTAGTCAATTATACAAGTTTCAAGTTTTTTAAATGTAAAATTTTGAATATTTTCATAATTTCTATTCCCAACTAGACAAGTCATACATGATAAATTTATAGGAATTTCATACATGCTTCTAGAATTTGCAACAAAATAACAAGTCTCGAAATCATAATTATATAATGCAGATTACACCATAATTTAAATCTTATCTAACTATTTAGATAAAGTCATTTTAACTTTTGTATAGATAAAATCTTTTTAAAACTTGAACTATAAGTCAAATGAAAAGTTAAAAATAAATAAATTAATAAGCTAATGTCAAATAAAACACTTTTAAAAAGAAGGAAAAAACTAATAAAACGCGCATATGGAAGACAAAAGAGAAGATGGAAAAAATTCAACCGTTTAAGAATTGAAAAAAGAAAAAAATCTAGCCGCAAAATGAGGCATTTTGCCCTGAGTTTCAAACATATGCGAGCTTTTTAGAATACCGATAATCGTATACTTCATTTCATTTTATATCATTTTAATTTCTATTTTTTTACATTTTGGTAAGTCGCGCTTTGTTCGTATTTTCTGCGCGTATCTTGATTTTGATAAATCGAAAACTGTATCTGATATTTAAAACCAATAAATCGCGAATTTTATTATATTTTCACGTTCGTGTTTTTTAATTAAAATGAATATAATATGTACCAATTTTTCAACAATGTGAAGACAACTTTCATCTTTGCACTGATCATAACAAGACTAAACGGATGTCTCTTTCCCAATGTTTCTTCCCAAATAATATAGTACAATATTAATTTTGTTGAGCAAACCAAAATTTAATTGTACTTTTCTAGATTGGATGATATTGTATACTAAAATATCAAACACAAATCTCAAAAACAACTTGAAAATTGTTTTGACATAATTTGGAGAGTGGTAGAATTAAAAAGTTGTGAATCCCGTGAAATATTTAGTTATAATTAATTATCAATCTTGACTTAAATTAAAATTAAAATTCTAATTCTTACCAAATAGGGGTTCATTATTTATCTAATAAAAAACTTATTTTTCATAAAAAATAATATGTAATTAATTTTATATGGGTCAAAATTTCTTCAATCAAATAATAAAAAGAAATTTGCTCTTTTTGAAACACAATCTATGTCTAAACGATTATGTAACTCTATTATGTACAAATAACATTATTTTTTATATATTTCGTCCCTTAGTTATGGGGGTTACAATAAGATTTTTAGTAGAATTTAATAAAAGTTGATAACATGTATCCTATCCTATATAAATAAAAGAGTAACTTTGGTTGTTACCATTCATAAGCAGAGCTGAGCTAAATGGTTTTATGGCTCGACTCGGCTCGGCTAAGCCGTCTAGCCTTTTTTTTAAACATTTGATTTAGTATTTTAAATTACAAATATAAGTTTTAAGCGGCTCGGCTCTGCTATGCTAAGCCATCTAAGCTCTTTTTGGTTTTTTTATACGTTTGATTCAGTATTTCAAGTTACGAATATTCGTTTTAAACGATTTAAAATTTGTTGGAAATGTTGAAGTACGGCCTGATAAATATATGATCGATAAATTTNACATTAATTATGAAACGTAAAGTTGTGATTGTTTATGTTTCTTTTTAATACTAACCACATTCCAATATCTTTTTTTCGAGCTTTATTTTCCTACAATTTTTCGTTCGATTCGATATTTTCAGAAGAATCTTCATACATCATGCGGTGCGGTAGACAAACATCTTTTTATAAAGTTGATTTTTTTTATTTTTTTTAAAATTGATTTAATGTACAGTATCATTAGAACATGCTAAAAAGATATTCGACGGAATTTATGAAGTTATGTGATCGTTTGTCATTCTTTTTTGCCTATATGATTGAAGTTTTCGTTGTGTTGTAATTTTAATACTGATAAGACACTTGATTTGTCCTAAACTTGGAACTGTATTATCATTAATTAATTAGTCTTAACTACACATATCTTGCATGTGGTTTTGGTAGATAAATTAAATACTGGTGCAACTGATACATGTAATTGGAGATTCTATGAGCATGAGATGAAGGAAATATAATGTCTTACCTCAATAGGTAGAAAAATGAGGGTTAGATTGAACTTCACAATCTCTTTAGTAGGGCATCAATACCTAATCATATATGTCGTGTCTTTTTTTTTTTTTTAAAGTAGAGAGACCTTCAAATGCAAAGTCTATAAAATAAGTTTTGAATTAAATCTCTTAATATTATTTTTGTCACCTATCATCATTTTCAAATGTTTTAAGTTTAATGTAACTAATGCGTAAGACAAACAAATTTTTTTATATTTATGCTATCATATAGTCAGCTATACTATAGTATGTGCATTGGACGCGCATCTCACTAGTAATTAAAAAGTCGTGAGTTCCATTAAATATTTAGTTAAAATTAATTATTGACATTGACTTAAATTAAAATTAAAATTCTAATTCTTATCAAATAGGGGTTCATTATATATCTAATAAAAAAGTTATTTCCATAAAAAATTATATGCAATGAATTTTATACGGGTCAAAGTTTCTCCAATTAAATTTATAAGTAAATAAATAATCCACACTCTCTTTTTTGACACCCAATCTTTGTATAAACAATTATGTAACTCTATTATGTATCAATAACATTATTCTTTATATATTTCATCCATAATTTATGGGGGTTACAATAAGATTTTTAGTATAGTTTGATAAAAGTTGGTAAAATATATAGTCAAAAAGTTGCGAGTCCCATAAAATACATAGTCAAAATTAACTATCGACTCTGACTTAAATTAAATTAAAATTTTAATTCTTATCAAATAGGGGTTCATTATTTATCTAATAAAAAAATATTTTCTATAAAAATT